TGTCTCTGACTTTGTGTCCGGTTCAACCTGCTGTGTGCTGCTTCTGGTGGGCTTCGGGTAACACGCCTCCTGTGTGAGTTGTACCATCTGCCATCAGACTCTAGATCACCACAGCACCCAAAGTCTTCACTAACAGACTCTTTTTTTTTGCACTTTAACTGTACCAGCATGATGCACTTGCAGCAGATTTTTAAAATTTTGTACTTCTTAAAACCACTGCATCTTGAACCAGTCTTCCCATTCTCCTCTGACATCTGACATCAAGGCATTTTTGTCCACACAGCTGCCGCTCACTGGATATTCTTCTCTCTTTTGGACCATTTCGGACCACTGTGAACCCTAGAGAAAATCCCAGTAGATCAGCAGGTTCTGAAAACCCGCTTGTCTGGCACCAACAGCCATGCCACGTTCAGAGTCACTTAAATCCCATTCCTTCCCCATTTTGATGCTCAGTTTGAACTTCAGCAGGTTGCCTTGACCATGTCTACATACCTAAATGCATTGAGTTGCTGCCATGTGATTGCTGATTGGCTGATTGGCTATTTGAGTTAGCAAGCAACATTAGTAAAAAGTACATACTTAATATTATTATAGTATCAAAAATATTGTTATATAAATTGCTGTGGCATGAATGCAGTTGTTCACATTGTAAGATGAAAACAGACAGTTTAATGGATATTTCCTAATTTCATTGTCCTACTTGCGCTAATGCAAATGTATGTTGAACAGTGTGAATTTATTTTCCAGAGCCGATGCTGCCTAAACGATGTTAGCACTACGCTGTGTTATTGTCACATTGAATGAAGACGTGCAATGCAATTTAGCGCACCAAAGCATCGGCTTGTTCCATTTTACAACTTGTACAATGAAAATTGAACAAGAAAGTGTAAACGGGAAACAGAGACAGCTCGCCTTCAAAATAATATGCCATTGTTGTGTCATGTCATTATTAATAACTTAATAAATAAACAAATAGTGTAGCCTAAATATTGAACATAATTCATAATTGTTGTATTTCTGCCACTTAACCATACATTATTTTTATTAATATGTCAGTCGGTACTGGAATTATTATAGAGTGCTGTGATTCATACCTAGGCTACATAGCCTAATGATGTATTATTTGTAGTATATTTGTTGAGTCTGACAAAGGGTTGATTTATCTCCAGCTTTGACTTCATTGCTGTGGGTCTACTGCGGTCAAGTGAGCCAAAATGAATTAAGCCGCACCTAAAAAGGGCACGAGTCGAAAAAGTCTTTCTCAAACAGTAAAGCAAATAGAGTGAACAGTGAAAACAGTATTTTATATGTTATTATGTTGTTTAAGACCATTGTTCCGGAAGTCTGCCGCTTGGTCATAACACTATGTATAGCCTTTAATGTTCACCCAAAGTAACAGATTAGCCAAGTAGCCTTAATCAAATTAATAAATTGATTGAGAGGCAGAAATACGACAAGTATGAATTATGTTCAACATTTAGGCTACACTATTTGTTAAAATAAGTTTAGCTATCCTTAAAATGACAGTTCAAAAACTCGAAGGCGACTGGTCTCTATTTGTGGTTTACACTTTCTTGTTCAATTTTCATTGTGTTAGTTGGATAATGGAACAAGCCGACGCTTTGGTGCACTTAATTGCATTGCACGTCTTCATTCAATGCGACAATAACACAGCATAGTGTTAACATCCTTTAGGCAGCATCGGCTCTGGAAAAATTAACTCACATTGGTCAATTAACATTTGCTTTAGCGCAAGTAGGACAATAAAATTAGGAAATACCCCCTAAACTGGCTGTTTTCATTATACAGTGTGAACAACTGATGAATTATACTTCATGCACGGACCTTCAAGGAAGTACTTTCTTTTAAAGTCATCCTGTATTTCTGGTAATACATTAACAAACTGCATTCAAGACACACCTAGATTTTCTAAAAACTTTGGCATCCTGTCATCTTCTGACATGCTCTGTTTAAATTGTTTAAGCTGGTTAAGCTTATAGTGTTTCTCTTTTAACCCTAAATGGGAACACCCAATCCCTGAGGTATGTATGTTTTCCACATCTGTGCAGTATATATAAAAGGTGCAGTATCATCATCACCACAGAAAACTGATCCACAGTACTTACCTGATCATCATGATGAAGCCGATCCTTTCTCTGACTCTCATCTGGGCGCTCTCCAGCACAGGTAACTCCACTTATTATCACATTAGAGTTTCTGCAGGGAGCAAAATTTAAAGGTTTGAAGACATTAATTTTGCCTGAAAGCTTTTTTTTTTTGTTGAAAAGATTAAAAATCTTAATATTAACAGATTATTATTTTTAAATTAACCAGAACCAAAACTTCATCACTGAGTTGTCAATTTTTCTCCCCATTGCAGCTGGAGCCCTTCAGTGTCAAAGCTGCCAAAATGATCAGTGTACAAACCCACCATCATTACCATGTTCTTCAGAGACCATGTGTGTGACAGCTACCTTTCAAGGTAATGTTTTCTTCATGTGATCTCTTACTTTTCAGTGAAATACATTTAATGCCAGTTATGTGTTCTGACTTCCAACAATAACAAACTGTGCTTTGATTTTGTAGTTTTTTCATCTGGAGTTGCAGTCCCACAAATCATCAAGGCGTGTGCACCATCCTCCGTGTGTCCAGCTACAGGCTCTCAGGCATTTTCATTTAACGCGGGTGTTTTGCAGGCAGTTGCATCTCTTCAGTGCTGCAACACAGATAACTGCAACACAGAAACTCTACCTAGTAAGTCCAAATTGATAAGTAGCTCATTTAATTTAAGAAAAGAGACAAAATAAAAAACAGAACAAAGAACACTGGCCTCCTGCTATCTACTGACACTTTCTACTTTCACTTTGTGATACAAATGTTTTCTCTTCCTCAAATAAATTCTGTCGTTCTTTTCTGTTTCAGAGCCTGTTCCTCAGCCAAACAGCCTAAAGTGTTTCACTTGTGACCCCCTCATTTCTCAATGCAACTCATCTCAATTACAATGTAAGGGAGCGGAGGACCGCTGCTTTAAATTGAATGGTGAGTCTTTCTGATAAATAATTCACCATATTTTGTCTCCACATGGGTTGTGAGGTCATTTTGAGGTGTGGAAAATCAACCAGTGGTGGAAAGTAATGGTGAGATATTGATACTTTTACTTACATTTATATTATATTTTATGTTATACATCTAATTCATTCAGGGACTTGCACAGACATTTTGGTGGGCAGGGGCTCAAGTGCAAAAAGATAGCATTTTTTTAAACAAGACAAATTAACTCATTTTTTGACTCACATTTTTACTCTTCTACATAATAATCAGTTCACACAGAGACCACGGTCTTCTTTAGTATTCACTAGGTTTATCACAGGAGCAGGCGACCGCAAAGCAAACTATGCCACAATGTGCATGTTTTCTATGCTACTAGTTTCAAGTATATATTTATGACATAGTTTCATTAATAATTTTCACAAGGCAATAAATCGTTTCAATTCTATTGGTGTTATTGGAATACATAACACTTAACATAAATCTTTACACTAAACTGTGGCATTGGGCTGCAGGCATAATTAAAATAAATATTATTTAAATACTTTTACATTTTGTTTCACAAGCAAGGTGCCAAATGAGCAAAGATAACCTTCAGCTTCACACAGCCAAGCAACAGAATACTGAATTGCCTGAATACATTAATGTACAAATACTTAATTATTGTTGCTATTATATTACATTTACCATGCACATGTGTGCGCACACACACACACACACACACACACACACACAATTACTGATGGTGACCTGGACTTAGTTTCACATTTGAGGGAGGGCTGTCCGTTATATATAAGGATCTATCAGCATACAACAAACTAATAGAATGGAGAGTTATTAGATGAAGAGCCGACCATCAAAACTATGAAGTTACTCTTTAAGGCACTTTTTCATGGAGTGGTCAATTTTGAGACTTTGGTCTATTTTGCTTCCAGGTCTTCTTTTACTCTAATGGAAATAAAACTTCAAGAATACACCTTTAGATGGTGTTGGTTTTAAACCTAATACCCTTGGTCTATTTGCATCTGTAGATTTATTCTATATTAACCAAAACAAGCTAATCTGCATATTTCCACAGCACATTTCAGAGGAAAATAGCCAACTCTTGATGTAAGTCATTAACTGAGGAAGTTCTGTGGTGATTTTCTTTATCCCATTCACCTGCAGTGACTTGTCAAATGTGTGCAAATTGGCGTATTTTAATTAGTTAACGAGTAATTTGCATATCAATGTGGCGATTGTGATGACGTTATTAGACACAAATGTAACTGTGTTCACCTGTAGTGTCTCCATCAGTACATTAGGTTTTAAGGCCATGAGATATTGCCTTAGCTAAACTTCAGCTAACTTATTAACTAGCTCAGCTCATGAGTCATGCGTTAGCGAGACATAGGCCTATTGTCTTTTGTTTAATTAGTGGTAAAGAGGAGAGAGAGAGAGAGAGAGAGAGAGAGAGAGAGAGAGAGAGAGAGGGCATCGGAACTCCAAAGTCTCATCTTCTGACCTGATAGCCTATTTAGATTTTTTTCCCCAATAAATATATTTGTTTGACAGGGAATCTGTTGCAAACAGGAATAAACATACTGTATATTCTTTTATAAAAAATCACACTATCAAATAGTCCTCTTGAAGAGGAAAAAGGGCAGGTGCTGAAGCCCCTTTGATGTCTATGTGTGCACGTGCCTGAATTAATTACCTTTCAAAGGTAATTATTGTAGTTTCACTGCACTATATTTGTATGACAGCTATGGTGGCTAGTTAATTTACGGATTAAGATTTTATGTTTTAGATCCAACAATCCCACAGAATTACCTACTACTAATATAAGGATGCTTTCACACCTAGACCTTTTTACTTTGTTCAGGAACAGATACTTTGTTACGGATCAATTTGAATACATCACATGTGTTCACACCGCAGTATTGTAAAGCATCACTGACCGTCTGTGAACAGTTCGTGATCGTTGCCTCTGGCTGGTTGAATATTCCATGATCCGTGCACTACTGCAGTTGGTGGCTCTCCGCAGCGCCACGCAACTTTCATTGAGAATGGCATCTCAACCTCATATCAATAATTCAAGCTTTTATACGTTTAATTAGGAACTTCAGTATTTGGATAAAGAACATCTTGAAAAATAAAATGCGTCAGATTTAGTAATGGTCAGAAATCAGTTTAATCAACATTTAGGTGAATATAAGAATCGGATCAGATTTGATACTCAATATTAAAGGACTTGGATGGGATCCAGGACCAAAAACATGTAATGGTGTGAACTTGTGTGAAGGATCTGAATACTTCCTGAAGTTACTTAACAAAAACTAATGTATCTATAGTAAAACATTGTTTTTGTTTTTTTATCTTTAGTGACGAATGGAGGCAATACTTCTCCAGTCTCCGGCTGTGCATCTGCAAACCTGTGTGCACTTGGTGATAGCCTGAGTAGCCTACCTGTCTTGCAAGGTTTAGGTAGCTTCAGTACACCATCCTGTTGTGGGACCAGTTTGTGTAATGCTGTTACAACAACTGCCAGTGACGCCAGCTGTATGAGTCTGCTGCTGGGAGTCCTCATCTTTACCCTCCGTTTTTTTGAAGCCTGATTTTGGGATATCAGGGATGGAGTCTGGATGAAGTTGAGGTGGGACACAAAGGCAGCAAAGAAATAGACACATATACAAACACATACTTGTACACACAACAGAGGGGATACTTTTTTCATGGCTTTAATTTACTGGGTACATAATCAAATAAGTTAATAGATTTTTTTAATCAAACCTGATTGAATGCAGTAACAGTATATTGTACAATTATATTACTTAATTTTAGAAAAATACGAATCTTTGATATTAATGTAAGACTCAATATGAGAAGGAAAGTATTATAGTCATATTAGTCATTATTGTTCACATCCTTTATTATTGTTTGATCCTTTTTGTATCGTATTATCAATTTTATGTTTATGATTCTTGATCTGCAGCATTACCTCTGTCTTTATCTGTCTTATATATATTTTTTACTATGTTTATTGTTAAGCACCAATACACCAAAGCAAATTCTTTGTATGAGAATCAACTTACCAATAAAGCTGATTTTATTTAAAACAAAGAATGTTTTTATGAATTTATTTCATACTTTAAGTGGATTCTGTGTGATCTGGAGACTCTTCTGCTCTGATATTGTCACAGTACAGGTGCAGAATTCAAATCTAATTGCCAGTCAGCAGTGTTGGGCAGTAACGCTTTACTCAGTAACACGTAAGTTCAACTGTAATAGCCAATTATTGTTTTATCCAGTCACTAGTGTACTAATGCAGTGACGTTTTGACTAGGGTAAGGGATTACTACACTATATTGCCAAAAGTATTAGGTATTAGGACACCCCTCTGAATCATTCAATTGAATCATTCAGTGGTTCCAATTCAATTCAAATAAGCTTTATTGGCATGAACAGTATTGCCAAAGCTACATAAATTTTATGAAATAAGTAAAAACAGTAAAATTTGTTGTATGTGTTAATAAAAAAAATATATATATTATATATATATATATATATACACACTGTATATATATAATATAAAAATTCCGTACAAAGAAATATTAAAATAATATACATACATAAAACAGTAACCGAGTGTATGTGTGTGTGTGTGTGTGTGTGTAAAAACATAAAAATATATTAAAAATGAAAATGAAATAAATAAATGAAACAGTAATGTGTGTGTTATTATAATAATATATTAAAACTTTAAATAAAATAAGTCGATAAAACAGTAAACATATGTGTGTATATTAATAGACAAAAAATAGTTAATAAATAAATAAATCAGTATCAAATGTGAAATTTAAAAACAAAACAATTACTAAAATATCAAACAATCAAAATAATAATAATTTGAAAATTAGTACAATTATTTATCAGTTTCCACTGGTTGTCCTCACTTCATGGCATGAGGAGACATATTTTGCAGCAATTATTTAACATCTGGGCATTTCTCTCAATAAATAGGGGAGTTTCTGTGTGTCTGATATAAATTTGAATTTCTTGGTATATTTGGGAAATGTTTACAAAGATTTTTTAGTGTTTTAAATTTAGGGCATTGTTGGATCAGATGTACAACCAGGCTGGGCCAGTTAAGCCAGGTCCCCACCTTCACCAGCTTTATAAACCAACCAATCAACCAGCTCCTCGTGTCCAGTCCATGGTCCTCAGCCCAGCTGTACAGTCGGTGGTCAGACCGACTCCAGCTCCTCGTGTCCGGTCCATGGTCCTCAGCCCAGCTGTTCAGTCGGTGGTCAGACCGACTCCAGCTCCTCGTGTCCAGTCCTCGGTCATCAGCCCAGCTGTCCAGTCGGTGGTCAGACCGACTCCAGCTCCTCGTGTCCGGTCCATGGTCCTCAGCCCAGCTGTTCAGTCGGTGGTCAGACCGACTCCAGCTCCTCGTGTCCAGTCCTCGGTCATCAGCCCAGCTGTCTCGCCCGTGGTCATCAGCCCAGCTGTTCAGTCGGTGGTCAGACCGACTCCAGCTCCTCGTGTCCAGTCCTCGGTCCTCAGCCCAGCTGTCTCGCCCGTGGTCATCAGCCCAGCTGTCCAGTCGGTGGTCAGACCGACTCCAGCTCCTCGTGTCCGGTCCATGGTCCTCAGCCCAGCTGTCCAGTCGGTGGTCAGACCGACTCCAGCTCCTCGTGTCCGGTCCATGGTCCTCAGCCCAGCTGTCTCGCCCGTGGTCATCAGCCCAGCTGTCCAGTCGGTGGTCAGACCGACTCCAGCTCCTCGTATCCAGTCCTCGGTCATCAGCCCAGCTGTCTCACCCGTGGTCATCAGCCCAGCTGTCCAGTCGGTGGTCAGACTGACTCCAGCTCCTCGTGTCCGGTCCATGGTCCTCAGCCCAGCTGTCTCGCCCGTGGTCATCAGCCCAGCTGTCCAGTCGGTGGTCAGACCGACTCCAGCTCCTCGTTTCCGGTCCATGGTCCTCAGCCCAGCTGTCCAGTCGGTGGTCAGACCGACTCCAGCTCCTCGTGTCCGGTCCATGGTCCTCAGCCCAGCTGTCCAGTCGGTGGTCAGACCGACTCCAGCTCCTCGTTTCCGGTCCATGGTCCTCAGCCCAGCTGTCCAGTCAGTGGTCAGACCGACTCCAGCTCCTCGTGTCCGGTCCATGGTCCTCAGCCCAGCTGTCCAGTCGGTGGTCAGACCGACTCCAGCTCCTCGTTCCCTGTTGGTGGTCCGATCGTTACCAGTCCCGCCGGTGGCCCAGCCAGCTTCTGCTCCCTGTGCTCAGTCAGCCTCCTGCTCGGCCCCCAGTGGGTTTCCTACCTCACTTTTGGCTTTCCTGCCAACCCCCTGAACCCTGCCTGCTAGGCCGTCCCCCTGAACTGTCTGGCCCCCCGGCCCAGTTCTCAGGCCGCCCGCCTGAGGTTCCCCCGTCTGGTCCCCCTGTTCCGCCTGGCCTGTTGGGTCGCCCTCCGGGACGGAGGCTTGTCTGTCTCTGTTTTCCCCCGCTCTCTCTCTGCCTACCTGTGCCTCGTTGGCCTGATATATGCTGTCTCCCTGTGTCGCGTGTAGATGCTCTGTCTTGTGATGTTCTGTTTGCCTGCCTGCCTGTCGTGTCACCCTGTTTTCTGTGGATTTGGATTTCTGTTTGGATCACCTGTTTTGGATTTTGGACTCAGCCACTCTTTGTAAGTGTGCTCGCCTTTATTTCGTTTATTACGCCATAAGTCCTGGATTTTGGTCCTCCAACCTACTACCTGCTTCACCACACGAACCGTGACACATATGCTGGAATGCACCATCTGGACATTATTATATATTTTTTGATGTATTTCTACAAGCAAGCAAGCGTCATAAGTCTCAGTCATTCCAAGAGTGATTCACATGAAGGAAAAAAACATTATTTTAATGCTGTCAAAACACATTAAGACCTTCTGCAGCTTATAGGCTTATTGAAAAACTCACTTTAAACTACATTTATTTGTTTCAGCTGCACCACAATCGTCCTTACTTAGAAATATTTATATAATCTCCAACATGATAACTATGATAGAAATGTTCAGTCGGTGTGACTAATCACAACATGACAGATGATTGTTCATTGATCAGTTACAATTTCCTACAGATTAGTTTGATTTTAACAGTGTTACTGCAGTAACGTAGCCCACAGTAAGTATTTCAGTGCAACTGTTGCCAACCTGACAGCTGCCGTCAAAAGAAACTTTACTGACAAACAGTATATGCTGCGCTCTCTCTGATGAGGTGTTTAATTTTGACTGAATGTAAGTAATGTAACCAATTTAAGTAACCCAACTGAGTTGGTCAGCCCATCTCAGGACCAGGCGGTGTGGTCTGCTAGTCTACTTGTCAGATTTTAAGTTTCACCCGGTTTATGGAGTCTTGTCACATGATCAAATAGAAACTTAAGATTGGGCAGCCATATACACATTACCCAGCAATCATCACTGTATTTGTCGGCTATGTGACACAAATACCAAAGGGCCCTCAAGACAGGGCCCCAGTGCAGCTGTGCAACTGTCTGCACTACGTCCCTGCCTACATTTATTGGCAGAATATTTTCCTCCGCTCGCGTTCACAGTCACTTTGTGCGGTGTTGCTCTCAGCTCTCAGCACCTGTCATGTAGTAGCCTCATTTGAAGAAAGAGGAGAGGAAGTGAGCCAAGTGATGAGTGCTACCGTACTTGCATAATGTGAGTGAAATAAGTAGTGAATTGATATAATAATGATCGTGGGAAATTTTAGTAGTGGCGGCACCGCCGCTCCTGAATGCATAGCCTATAGGGGAAAAACTGCAACCTCCAGATAGCTTACAGGGTGTCCCTTTTCACAAATCTGCATCATTTCTTATGAATGTATGCTACTTGTATTTTAATGTTTTGTCAAAAACCTGAAGTAGGTTACCCAGCGTCTGTCCTCAGCCAGACATTGAAGTTTATGATGCTCCACTGAGTTTTCTGTATTTTCCAACAACTCCAATAGATTGATCTTCAAGTAGGGCTGGATGATATGGCCAAAAATGTTATCACGATAAAGATTTTCATATTTTTCGATATCAATAATTATCACGATAAGTATCAAATAGTTATTTATTTCGAGTTTAAAGGCTGATTTTTGCTCCTGAGTGGAAGTTGAAGAAACCTGATGGTTAATTGTGGTTTAAACTCTAAATTATGGTCAATACTCCCCCACAAAATAAACATCTTAATAAAAAAAATAATTGGTTATGATTCAAGTGAATAAAGTCAAACATTTATTGAATATTTATTGAACATTTGTTATTGAAAAAAAATTATATTGTGATAATTATTGTTATTGTTTTATTGTTGTTTAATGTTGTCCAGCCCTATCTTCAAGTTGATTGTATGACATGTAGTTAAAGAGTAGCAATATCTTAGAGGGAGGGATCCTCTTGAAAAATAATGTGCGTCAGATTTAGTAGCTACAGGTGTTATTTCAATTGTGTCAGATACATATTTAATCAGCATTTAGGAAGCCTAAATAGCCTATAATTAATCAAATTGGATTTGGTTTTGGCAGATACACAATATTACAGGGACCAAAAACTTGAAATGGAACATTTGTACTTTGCGACGGCTATTTTTTTCTTAAGCGAAGGATTTAATACTTCCTTAAGTTATTTGATTGGAAAGATTATATAGTTTCTATAGTAAAACTATGATTTTCATGTAGTGAAGATTGGGTCCAGAACTTCATTATTTGGCTGTGCATCTTCAAATGAGTGTGCAACTGCTGCCAGCCAGGATATCTTATCTTCTTTGCAAAGAATTGGTAACTTCACCGCTGGACCATCCTGTTGTGGGACCAGTTTGTATAATGCTGTTACAACAGCTCCCAGTGACGCCTGCTGTATCAGTCTGAAAAAGTGACAAAACGTAATTATGACGGCAAAGGTTACCGTCAGTGTCTCCCGGATGCCTCTCTATGAG